GTTCATATTAGAAAAATATAAATAATTTGAAAAATTACCGTGTATCATTGTACTACTGCTTAATATTTTTACATATGTATTGAAACATATATGAATTCATTGCATATATACAGTTTGCGAGAGAAGATTTGTTTTTTGTATGTAGAATATTTTGCAAAATTGTGCTACTCATGTTCTACAATTTAAATACCAAAATATTATAGAATATACACGCTTTTCAAAAAATACCGTACAACATTTTATTGTTCTATCAATTTCCATAATTCATTAAATATTAATATTACCTATATACTCAATAATTAACAGTAACAAATACCTCTAACAGAGTTAAAGGAATTTATGATTGTGCTCCAGAAGTACTATTTGTCAACTTTTTTATTTGGTAATTGATTTTAATATCTTTTTCATCAATTCATATAAGAAAAATATAAATAATTTGAAAAATTATCGTGAAACATTGTACTACTTCTTAGTATTTTTAAAAATTTATATTGAAAAATATATAAAATGATTGTAGATGTTATACAGTTTGCGAAAGAAGATTTGTTTTTTGTTTGTAGAATATTTTTATTAATTTTGCAAAATTGTGCTACTCATGTTCTACAATTTAAATACCAAAATATTATAGAATATATATGTTTTTCAAAAAATACCGTACAACATTGTGTTGTTTTATCAAATTACATAATTCATGAAATATTAATATTATCTATTTAATCAATATTAAACAGTAACAAATACATCTAACAGAGTTAAAGGAATTTATGATTATGCTTCAAAAGTAGTTTTTGTCAACTTTTTTATTTGGCACTTGATTTTAATAACTTTTTCATCAATTCATATCAGAAAAATATAAATAATTTGAAAAATTATCGTGAAACATTGTACTACTTCTTAGTATTTTTAAAAATGTATATTGAAAAATATATGAAATGATTGCAGATGTTATACAGTTTGCGAAAGAAGATTTGTTTTTTGTATCTAGAATATTTTTGTTAATTTTGCAAAATTGTGCTACTCATGTTCTACAATTTAAATACCAAAATATTATAGAAAATATACGTTTTTCAAAAAATACCGTACAACATTTTATTATTCTATCAAATTTCATAATTTATTAAATATTAATATTATCTACAAACTAAATATATAAGAGTAACACATACTTCTAGCAGAGTTAAAGGAATTTATGATTATGCTCCAAAAGATTTTTTTGTCAACTTTTTTATTTGGTTCGTGATTTTAATAACTTTTTCATCAATTCATATTAGAAAAATATAAATAATTTGAAAAATTGTCGTGAAACATTGTACTACTTCTTAGTATATTTACATATGTATTGAAAAATATATGAATTGATTGCATATGTTATACAGTTTGCGAGAGAAGATTTGTTTTTTGTATGTAGAATATTTTGCAAAATTGTGCTACTCATGTTCTACAATTTAAATATCAATATATTATAGAATATATACGTTCTTGAAAGAATACCGTAGAACATTTTATTGTTCTATCAATTTTCATAATCATTAAATATTAATATTAATTATTTAATCAATATTTAACAGTAACAAATACCTCTAACAGAGTTAAAGGAATTTATGATTGTGCTCCAGAAGTACTTTTTGTCAACTTTTTTATTTGGTACTTAATTTTAATAACTTTTTCATCAATTCATATTAGAAAAATATAAATAATTTGAAAAATTATCGTGAAACATTGTACTACTTCTTAGTATTTTTAAAAATTTATATTGAAAAATACATAAAATGATTGCATATGTTATACAGTTTGCGAAAGAAGATTTGTTTTTTGTACGTAGAATATTTTGCAAAATTATGCTACAAATGTTCTACAATTTAAATACCAAAATATTATAGAATAGATATGTTTTTCAAAAAATACCATACAACATAGTGTTGTTTTATCAAATTACATAATTCATTAAATATTAATATTACCTATATACTCAATATTTAACAGTATCAAATACCTCTAACAGAGTTAAAGGAATTTATGATTATGCTTCAAAAGTAGTTTTTGTCAACTTTTTTCTTTGGTACTTGATTTTAATAACTTTTTCATCAATTCATATCAGAAAAATATAAATAATTTGAAAAATTATCGTGAAACATTGTACTACTGCTTAGTATTTTTACATATATATTGAAAAATATATGAAATGATTACATATGTTATGTTATACAGTTTGCGAAAGGAGATTTGTTTTTTGTATCTAGTATATTTTTGTTGTTTTTGCAAAATTGTGCTACTCATGTTGTACAATTTAAATACCAAAATATTATAGAATAGATAGGTTTTTTTAAAAAATACCATACAACATTGTGTTGTTATATCAAATTACATAATTCATTAAATATTAATATTACCTATATACTCAATATTTAACAGTATCAAATACTTCTAACAGAATTAAAGGAATTTAAGATTATGCTTTAAAAGTAGTTTTTGTCAACTTTTTTATTTGGAACTCGATTTTAATAACTTTTTCGTTAATTCATATTAGAAAAATATAAATAATTTGAAAAATTATCGTGAAACATTGTACTACTTCTTAGCATTTTTAAAAATTTATATTGAAAAATACATGAAATGATTGCATATGCTATATAGTTTGCGAAAGAAGATTTGTTTTTTGTATGTAGAAAATTTTTGTTGATTTTGCAAAATTGTGCTACTCATGTTCTACAATTTAAATACCAAAATATTATAGAATATATATGTTTTTTAAAAAATACCGTACAACATTGTATTGTTTTATCAAATTTCATAATTTATTAAATATTAATGTAGGATAAGTAATCATAGCGTAAGGTTTTATTTGTTTTGGAGCGCAGGGCAACCCTGGCTGAGCTTGTCAGCGAGAGAAAGAACAGAGCGAAGAATAAAATTTGCTTGTAGTCAGTGTGTGAGCAGCAGCGATAAGAACCAGACGTCCAAAGTGGCTGTGCGAAAAATAAACAAACTAAAATAATTTAAGCTTAAGATAAACCTACAAGTTTTTGGGGGCTCGTCCGGGATTTTATCTTTGTTCAATCACTATATTGAAAACCCGGATTGTAGTGTGAAATCTTAGACATAGTGCGAAAGGGTTTTGCAGTCACCAAATTGCAGCCTAACATTCAAGTGCACGCTGAGTTTTCGTTTCATTTATTTTGTACGGTTAAAGCAACAAATCAACGAGGCGGCAACGAGACAGAGAGTAGCTGCAAAAACAGACGAGAGAGAGTTGTATGTATATCGTGTATGGAGAGTAGTTCAAATGCTTGTATAGTGAACGCAAGTAGTTGTGCACGCGGTGAGAAGCAGTGAAAACAGAGAGTAGCTGCAGAAACAGACGAGATAGAGTTGTATGTATATCGTGTATGGAGAGTAGTGCAAATGTTGTATAGTGAACGCAAGTAGTTGTGCACATGGTGAGAAGCAGTGAAAACAGACAGTAGCAGTTGTGCGAATATCGTTGTAGTAGCAGTTGTTCGTGTTGAAGTCAAGTCAGAGTAGCAGTTGTGCGAATATCGTTGTAGTAGCAGTTGTTCGTGCTGAAGTCAAGTCAGAGTAGCAGTTGTGTGAATATCGTTGTAGTAGCAGTCGTTCGTGCTGAAGTCAAGTTAGAGTAGCAGTTGTGCAAATATCGTCGTAGTAGCAGTCGTTCGTGCTGGGCCCTGTTGCACCAACACTTTTCACTTTTCACTTTGCAAATTTTTATGAGTTTTTGAGCATTTTTCTCTCATTGAGAACATAAAGCATTAATTTGAGAATTGAGTTATGCAAAGTTTTGAAAACACTCAAAAAATGCAAAGCGTTGCACCAATGTACTTTTCAATGAAAAGTAAAGTATGAAAAGAAAAGTGAAATATTTGACAAAAAACTGGTTTCTTTGCACTTTCTGTTGCACCAACACTTTTTATTTTGCGCTTTGCAAAAGTAAACTGCAAAACTTTACAAAAAAACTGCAAATGATTAATTCACTTTGCAAATTTTGCAAAGTGATTTCTTTCAATGTGTACGATCACACCAAAATGTATGATCACACGCTGAATCAAAGGTTGAAATCAACTGTTTGCAAGTACTGAACTCTTAAATCCAGTACTTATGTTGATTTATTTGAACACGAGAACCACTGAGCACTTGAACCCAGTGATTTGAAGATTGTCCTAAATTATCCTGATTACTGAACACTTGAATCCAGTAGTCAGGTGCTTATATGGTGTAAATTTAGCACTTGAACCAAATCTACAAGCTATTAGAACGAACAAAAAGAATCGATAACGAATGTGGCTTCGCATCAATTGAATTGTCAAAAATTCAATTGTGCCTTTTATTTAAAATTGATAATTAATTTACAACAAATAAATTAACTAAAATAACCTTGACAATGCATGCCAAACAATGAACTTATTGCAAACTGCAAGAGTGCATTTTCTTGCAGACGAAATTTGACGCTTTTGTTTTCATGTGCCAACAGAAGCATATGACGTATTTTGGGCATTGCATTGACAACGTTATTTTTTACACCAAATATATTTAACACAATTATTACAATACAAATAAAAATAACAAATTATTCATACAAAATTAATAAAAACAAAATATTCATATATAATAATATAATATAATATAAACAAATATTCAACATTCTCCCCCGCGTTGAACAACCGTTCAACAATATGAGCCTCTAGCTGTCAGGTAGTCAGTCCGACTATATGTTGATAACGAATTCTCGTGACTGCCGAAGTGGCATGGGAATGGGTGTCGTGCGGGTGGCTTCTTCAACGGATGGAATTTCAACATGTTTTTTCGGCAATTTCTTCTTCATCATGATTATGATTAATATCAGCCCTATAACGAGTGCAGCGTAAGCTATGGTGAAGCTGTGGTACTTGTGTGACTGAAATTGATTTGGAAGATCATTTATCTGGTATGACTGCAACACCTTCTGCAATACTGTGAGTTCTTTAAGCTGTTGATCGTATTGGTTGTTACGTATCGTTGACAGTGTACTGTTGCCGCTGTGTGATTCCACCTTTAACCTTCATTAGTCTGTAAAGGGATATTAACTCATCTTCCGGCATCGGTAATTCTAATGATGGTGATAAATGAAGTTTGATTTGATTAACTTCCTTTTGTAATTGTGTTGGTGTCAATAACAATGGATTCACTTTTCCATGATGAGTATCAGTTAGAGCATCTATAATGGCAGATTGTATCTTCTGTAGATTATGTGCTACCAGTGTTAATTGAATGGCTCCTGCATTGAAAACTTGATTGAGCCGTAATTGATTTACCTCTCTATTTGTATCTTTTATTGAATTTATCAATGCCTTTATTTCATTGTCAATGTGGTCAAAACCTTCTTGAACTGCTATTTTATCTTTCTTCATTATGTTGATTGTTGAATCGACAACTGATGTCTGATTCTTAAATAGCGTCAATAATTGTATTTCATTTTGTTTCACTTCTGTAATTATATTTGACATTCCTTTGGCATATTCTGAATCTAATACTCCAAACAGTGAATGCGCAATATTGCCTACAAGGTCAATTGCTCCTCTTTTGAAGCGATGATCATGAAGTAATTTATCATCAAGTTGTAGTTCGGATCCAATATGTTTAAAGTGATTAACTGTATTCGCACATGATGCGTTTGGTTTCATTTGTTGACAAGTTTGATGTAGCGACATTATTCCTGTGTTTAGAGCTGCTGCTTCCGTCCAATAAAGACTTAAATCATAATAAACTAGTAGATTCCATTCAGTGGTTGATATGGCAGTTGTGCCCAGATTTTCAAAGTGAATACCCAATTTTGTGCCAAACCTTTTATTGTCAATTGGAGATCCTATTACTATTGGCAATATCAGTAATAATGTAAGTAATACAGAACAGTACAAATTGGTCGGCAGTTTTCTACGTTTTGTCTTGGGCTCTTCATACGACTCTTTTCTATCTTTCATAATTAACTTGTCAGGAGGTACTTCGTGATCAGCTTCAGCCATTGTTGGTTGATCATCTGTATTTACAGGCAGTATAGCTAATCGATGAATTGGGCGTTTAAAAATGCCTGCCGATGTTTTAACATCAGCTACTCGGATATGTCCATCTGTACCCTTGTACACATGTACAATTCGTCCCAAGGGCCACTGCATCACTGGGACGTTATCTTCTTTGATTATAACCATGTCTCCTAACTGTATGTTGGCAGATTGTGTTTTCCATTTGTTACGTTGTTGCAGTTCCATTAAATATTCGTTAGACCAGCGTTTCCAGAAATTATGTTTTAACTGGGAAACTAGGTTCCAACGTGACAATAACGTGTGTTTTTCTGGTTTCGATCGGCTGTCTACATGAGTTGTAAGAGCTTCTCCAATTAATAAGTGTCCTGGAGTTAATGCTGTCAAATCAGTTGGATCATTGGACATTGGAGTCAATGGTCGTGAATTTAATGTCGCTTCAATTTCCACCACTACTGTTTCGAGTTCTTCATACGTCAATGATGCTGTTGAAACGCTGCGTAGTAACAAATATTTTGCGGACTTTACGGATGCTTCCCATAAACCGCCAAAGTGTGGAGCCCTTGGTGGAATAAAATGAAAGTTTATTCCTGTGGTACTGCAGGCAGAGATTATTGCTTCTTGTCCTTCATTAGAATAAATGCTTTCTTCTAATTCTGCTAACTGGTTTTTGGCGCCTACGAAGTTTGTTGCGTTATCACTGTAAATATTCAAACAACGCCCTCGTCGACTTATAAATCGTTTTAATGCTCCAATGAAAGCATTTGTTGATAAATCGGTCACTAACTCGAGATGTACCGCCTTTGTAGAAAAGCAACAAAAGACAGCAATATATGCCTTTGTTGGCTTTTTGCCTCTCACCTTGTAGTGGATCCAAAATGGTCCGCAATAATCTACACCAGCATTAATGAAAGGTCTTGCAGGAGTTATTCTTGATTCTGGTAAATTGCCCATAATTTGTTGGCATAATTGCGGACGTGCTTTGTTGCATCGAATGCATCGCTGAACCGTTGCTCGGGCTGTTGATTTACCTTTAATCGGCCAAAAACGTTGTCGGATTATACTCAATAGTGCCTGCGGGCCACAGTGCTTGTTTTCTTCATGGAACATCACGAATAATAATTTTGCCAATGGATCATTGTATGGGATCAGCATTGGGTGTTTAGAATCGTATGGTAATGATGAGGCTTCTAAGCGTCCTCCTACTCTAAGAACATTTGCATTATCAATGAATGGAGATAAACTACTGATTGAACTAAATTTATCAGCATGACCTTGTTTCTTCAGTTGTTTGATTTCTTCATGAAAATCATTACCCTGAATGTGAAATATTATAGTTATTAATGCTGCATCCAATTCGTTGGCACTAAGTACTATATGTGTGGCACGTGACTCCTTTGATTTTCTTGCGTTGTTAGTGAATCTAAGAACATATGCTACTATCTTTTGTAACGTCTTAAATGAATTTTTGTGCTGAATCCTGTATATGAAATCTGCGTCATTGCTTTGAGTTGCTACAGCTACAACCTTCTTCTTCTCCAGATCGACTGGAACTTGTAATGATGATGAAAACCTTGGTGGCCATACTTCCTGCCTTCCATGCAAAAAGAACGGTCCTTGAAACCAAAGTGCACATGTTGACAACGCCCTTGCTGAAAGTCCTCTTGATAACACATCAGCTGGGTTGTCCTTTGACCTAACATGTCGCCACTGTTCAGACAGAGTTAAAGTTTGAATTCTTGCTACCCTGTTAGCTACAAATGTTTGAAATGATGAGGACTGTGAGTTGATCCAAGACAACACAATTTCTGAATCAGTCCACAAAAATACCGGCTGGTCCTTCTCTTGAAGATCGCTTTTCACTCTTGCTGAGAGTTCCGCTGCTAAGACTGCCGCACATAGTTCTAGTCGCGGTAGCGTTTGTTTTTTGAGTGGTGTTACTCCTGACTTTGCACATAATAGTCGCACTATTATTCTACCATCTTTTAAAATTGCTCTGATATATGCTGCAGCACCAAATGCCTTTTCAGATGCGTCAGCAAAAATATGTAGCTGTGTTGATGATGGAACCTCGCCTCTGAAGATATGTCTTGCCACCTGAAGATTTTCAAGAGTACTTAAGTTTTCTCTAAATGTTGACCATGTTGTACAAAGATCTGTAGGAAGTGGTTCATCCCAAGATAATTTCAACTGCCATAAGTGTTGTATGAAAATCTTTGCTTTGACTATTACTGGTGCTAATAAACCAAGTGGGTCGAACAGTCTAGCTAAATCAGAACTAACGACTCTCTTCGTGATTATTCCTTCAGTAACCATTTTGACCTTAATTCCAAATAAATCTGCTTTGGGCAACCAAAATAGTCCCAGCGTTTTGATTGACTCGTTATTATCGAAATCTAGATTTACCTCTTGATCATCTTGAGAAATGTTTTTCAAAAGTTGAGGATGGTTTGCGCTCCATTTCCGAAGACAAAAATGATGCTTCTTCAAAATATGGATTAGTTGTCTTTGAGCTTCAATAGCCGTAATTAAACTATCTGATCCACCGAGCCCATCGTCAACGTAGAAATTGTCACACAGGATTTGAGCTCCTAATGGATAATTCACCTTGTTTTCTGATGCTATCTTTTGCAGACATCTTGTTGCTAGGTAAGGAGCTGCTCGAGTCCCATATGTAATTGTGTTTAGCTGATAATAACGAATCGTTGAATTTGGACTGCTTCTCCAAATGATAAGTTGATAGCGTCGATCTTCAGGATTTATGAAAACTTGACGATACATTTTCTCGATATCTGTGGTGAAAACAAACCGTGGTCGCCTAAAACGGAGCAGAATTGAAAAGAGTTCACTTTGAACTGTCGGTCCGTTATACATTAAATCATTCAACGAGTGTCCAGATGTAGTTTTGGCTGATGCGTCAAACACCACTCGAAGTTGAGTAGTTGTACTATCTGGTTTTAGTACGCAATGATGAGGAATGAAATATCTTGGAGTCAACATGGAATCCAAGTTTACTTCAGTCATGTGACCCAATCGCTCATACTCTTCCATAAACTGGACATATTGTTTCCGCAAAACATCATTTTTTGCTAGTCGTCGTTCAAGACTGATGAACCTTCTCCAAGCTGTTTCTTGAGATTCCCCTAACGTCAATGAGTTTTCCAGAAACGGCAACCTTACCACAAAACGTCCTTCTTTATTTGTATGGACGTTCTGCACAAAATGAGATTCGCATAATTTTTCTTCTTTGGATAATGTCCTTTCTGTTGTATTCACCTCATCCATTCGCCATAATCGTTCAATTG